TTCAAGCAATTCCTGTGCCTCAGCCTCCCAAGTAGCTGAGTTTACAGGCACATGCCACCATGCCTGGTTAATTTTTGTATTTTTAATAGAGACGGGTTTCGCCATGTTGGCCAGGCTGCTCTCGAACTCCTGACCTCAAGTGATCTGCCCGCCTCGGCTTTCCAAAGTGCTGGGATTACAGGCGTGAGCCACTCACACCGGCCCAACTTACCTATTTTTACTTTTGCTGTCTGTGCTTTTGGTTCTGTACCTAAGAAATCATTGCCGAATCACGAATGTCATGAAAGCGCCAATGTCATGAAGCTTTCCCTGTTTACTTCTAAGAGTTTTACAGACTTAAGTCTTGTGTTTAGGTCTTTAATCTATTTTGAGTTAATTTTTCTGTCTGGTGAAAGGTAAGGGACCAACACCACTCTCTTGCACGTGAGTATCGCTTTCCCAGTGCCGTGTGCTGAAGATAATCTCTGTATTTTAAGGCCAGCTAATTAGTAACCTTCATTCCGTCTGCTACCTAATTCTCCTTTGCCACGCGGGGTAACGTCGTCACAGGTTCTGGGGATTAGGATCCAGCATCTTTGGGAGGTGAGGGTGATCAGGCCCGCCAGGACTCCCATGCGTCTCATTCACACACTGACTCAGGAGAACACAGCTGCCCTTTGAACAAGACTGTGAACAGTGAGCGTCTACTTATACACATTTTTTTAAACCAAACACATCAAAAATACAGTATTCAGGCTGGGCAAAGTGGCTTACACTTGTAATCCCAGCACTTTGGGAGGCTGAGGCAGGAGGGTGGCTTGAGGCCAGGAGTTCAAGACCAGCCTGGGTAACACAGTGAGATGCTGTATCTACAAAGACTTAAAAAAAAAAAAAAAAAAAAAAAAAAAAAAAAAAAAAAAAAAAATTAGCCAGGCATGGAGGGTGTGCACCTGAGGTCCCAGATACTCAGAAGGCTGAGGTGAGAAATTGCTTGAGTGAGGGAGGCTGAAGCTGCCGTGAGCTATGATGGAGCCACTGCACTGCAGTAGAGCCTGAGTGGCCGAGTGCCACCCTGTCACAACAACAAATTGCAGCATTCACAGAACGCAAAACCTGCACACGCAAGGCCAGCTTTTCATAGATGTGGCTTCTGCAGGGCACTGGGGGACTTGAGCACGTGCAGATTTGGGTACGGGAGGGAGGGAGGAAGTGAAACCGATCTCCTGCACGTGCCAAGGGACAACACTATTTCCATGTAACAGCAGGAGGTGTAATTCACAGAAAATACTGACAAACGTTAAATCCAGAGATGGCTTATGTCAGGGAAAACTGACATCTCACAAATGACAACTGGGCTGTCTCAAATGCTCTGTCATCGGAGAAGCATTATTATAACAATGACGCTAGGCAGGAAAAAAAAGAATATTACCACACCACACAGAATTCTCTGACTCCATTGCTGTCTGTATGCATTTTCACAACCACCATCAAAAGCAGAGCTGTCTTCCCACGGGAGGTTAAACGAGTGAGAAGGAAACCACCAGAGGGAATATGGGAGAAACCAAACAGAATTCAAAACACAGGCCTGGGGGGCCGGGCGCGGTAGCTCACGCTGTAATCCCAGCACTGGGGGAGGCCAAGGCAGATCACTTGAGGCCAGGAGTTCAAGACCAGCCTGGCCAACATGGTAAAACCCTGTCTCTACTACAAATACAAAAATTAGCTAGGTGTGGTGGCGGGCGCCTGTAATCCCAGCTACTCGGGAGGCTGAGGCAGGAGAATCACTTGAACCTGGGAGGCGGAGGGTGCAGTGAGCCGAAACTGTGCCGCTGCACTCCAGCTTGAGACAAGAGAGTGAGATTCTGTCTCAAAAAAACAAACATAGGACTGAGATGAGGAGAGAATCCTAATGTTTCAGGCAAAATAAGTCAAAATTATTAAAATGTATTGTTACCTTTTGTTAAGATATATTCAGTGTGCTCGATCAGACTGTGAAGGTGTATCCGGGCAATATATCTCAGGTTCAAGAAGGTGGTGGCTCTAGTACGCATCTGACTAGAGAGAGGGGTTAATTTTTTTATCCTCACTTTCAGATGAAGAAATTGGAGCTGAAGGTCAGCCAGGCAGGGGTCAAAAACCGTGCCCAGTCCATGCAGGCCCCAGCGTGGAGGACACAACAGGGCCAGCTTTCCTTGAGAGGCGGCTCCGGGCCAGTCCCGAGCCGGGTTTCGACATCTCCTCGTTTTGCTTTCAGAACTTCCTCTTCTCCTTGGTTAGAATTAAACACAGTGGTGGAGGCTGGGCGTGGCGGCTCATGCCTGTAATCCCAGAACTGTGGAAGGCAGAGGCGAAGGATCGTCTGAGGTCAGGAGTTCGAGACCAGCCTGGCCAACATGGCGAAACCCTGTCTCTACTAAAAACACAAAAATTAGCCAGGCATGGTGGTGCACGCCTGTAGTCCCAGCTACTCAGAGGTGGAGGCTGCAATGAGATTGCGCCACAGTACTCCAGCCTGGGAGACAGCGAGGCTCTATCTCAAAAAAAAATAAACTGATGCGAAAAATTAAACACAGTGGTGGCATGACTGGTTTCTTGTGTCAGCTTCTGTTGAGAGCAAATTCTGACGTGTGTGAGAAATCACACTGTTTACTGAGTGGCAGCAAAGAACACCCAGTCTACCCCACAAAGCAGAAAACTGCTTCAAGAATTATAAAGCATAACCAATATGAGTACGTCTCACACCAGATGAATCCGTTCTTTGAACACAGGATATGTGACCCTTTCCTTTGTTCTCTCTGAAGAGCACTTTCTAGGTTGTCTTTAACCTACCCTAAACATACAGCAGGTGCCTGGTTAGTTTACCTTTAACCAATGAAAGAACACAGCACATCGGCTTGTCAAATTTGTCACTGGAAGGTAGAGAATCAAGTATGTGGATCAGCGTCTGCTCTGGGCTCTCAGCTGGAAATGCTGTGAGACCCCGGGTGCTCCGCTCTGAACCCACGTTTTGCTTTCTATCTCTATGCCTGTTCTTAATTCCTTCAGCACTGCCTGGGTTGGGGTCTCCATGGCTGAGCTGGCCTTGGCAAGCTTTCCCAGGGCTAAGCCATCTCTCTCATTCAACATTTCCCTTCCGAGACCCAGCACGAAGCACATGCACAGTTAATACCATGTCAGCCCCTCTGAACATCTTGTGTTGAAGAGGCATTAGAGGGCAGCTCTTACAGGAGCAAAGTCAGCACTCTCCATTCTGTGCCCACACCTGAGTGCCCGAAGTGGCCAACAGTGGCTGCAGTGGCTCTTGGAGGTGCCTGTGCCAATAGGTGACAAAATTATTTCCCATGTCTGGGCATCAAGAAAGAAAAGCACGTCCGCCTCCTGCACTCCCTCCTCCATCGGGCTGAGACCAAGCAGCTGCCTGGCAAGCCAGCTCCTAGGCTGTTCCTCAGGCCAGAGGGGACCTGGGGAGTGAATCCAACTTTGAGACGGAAGGTAGTGAGCTAACATTAAAACCACCACATTTAGGACAGGCACAGCAACTCATGCCTGTAATCCCAGCACTTGAAGGGGCTGAGGCGGGAGAATCATTTGAAGTCGGAAGTTCTAGACCAGCCTGGGCAACATGGCGAAACCCCAACCCTACTAAAAATACAAAAAGTAGCCAGGTGTGGTAGCAGGCGCCTGTAGTCCCAGCGACTCGGGAGGCTGAGGTGTGAGGACCTCCCGAGCCGGGGGTGCCCAGGTTGCATGAGCTGAGATCACACCACTGCACTCCAGCATCAGTGACAGAGCAAGATCCTGTCTCAAAAACAAAACAAACAACCCCAACCACACGTTAAACGAAAGCGGCTGAGATACAGGTGCACGGGCTGTCAGGCCACGCTCGGCCACCAACGGAACAGAAACAAAGACCCACTCAAGATGGGTCCCGCTCCGGGTGAGTCCCTGCCACGCTTACCTGCAGGTCGCACAGCAGAGGGTGGGCCAGCGGGGGTCCTTTCTGCACGACCCCCTCCCTCCGTCACACCGTCCTCCAGCCCCGATTGTCGCCCACCCTCCTGGGCCTTTCCCCTGGTTCAAAGCCTCCTTTCTTCTCACCCAGCAGACAGGCCTCACCGTGAGGGCTCCGACCTGTGATGCAGGGCCCACAGCAGCACAGTCGTGGGAGGGCGGGGTGCTCTCACGTTCTGATCCTGTGAGCAGAACTGGCACAGGTGCTGTTTACTAAACCAGAGGCAGATGTGGGGATGGCCCAAGGGAAGAGGCAGTGCCCCGGGGGTCCGTCACCACCCAGGCTGGAAGAGGTAGCAGGCGTGTCACACAGCCCGAAAGCTCCCTGGGAGTGCCTAATGGGCAGGAGGTATGAGCTGGAACCCAGCTCCCCCTGCTCCGAGAGCCGCTGTTCCCCTCAGACTTTAACTTCCAGTGCCTCTGAGCTAAACGAGACTGGGAGCAAAATCCTCCTTATGATTTGAGAATTGTAATTCAGAAATGTCTTTTGTTTTGTTTGAGATGGAGTCTTGCTCTATTGCCAGACTGGAGTGCAGTGGTGCGATCTCGGCTCACTGCAGCCTCAGCCTCCCCAGTAGCTGGGATCACAGGCATGCGCCAATACACCCGACTAATTTTGTAATTTTAGTAGAGACGGGGTTTCACCATGTTGGCCAGGATGGTCTTGATCTCCTGACCTTGTGATCCACCTGCCCTGGCCTCCCTAAGTGCTGGGATTAGAGGCGTGATCCACCGCGCCCAGCCCAGAAATGCCTTTTAAGCACAGAATGTTTTATTTTGCTTACCTGGAACCTTTGTGCAAAAAGCTGGATGATCTGTGGGAGTAAACACATTTCGCTTCAGAAGCAGCCTTTTAAGGAACACTGAGAGGGAAGGCGCAGTGGGGTCTGAACCCAGAGCGGACTGTGCGACACACAGGACAGCAGGGGGGCCTCCGCCGGCCCAGGTCCGGGATGTGGGCGTGGGCGCGGCTGCCACTGCAGAACGGGGTGACCACAGACCAAGGCAAATGGATCAAAAAAAGTTTATTCTGGATTCTTTAATTAAAAAAATCATACCTATGAGGTGTGCTACAGGAATTCCAATACAGTAAGTTGCATATAAAACCCGACCTCACTGCTCATCGTGGTAAAGCAAGGATGATGAGAAATGCACCTCAGGAGCAAAAACGCGCTTCACGAGCGCTCTGCAACCCAAGCCCTGAGCCATTTCCACGTGACCTTCTGGAAAGACACACTGCCCACCTGATGGCATGACGGGACTGGTCCAGCCTCCTGGCAACTCAGGAAGGAGGTGAGTTTCCCACAAAGTGAGTGCCCACAGATGCCAGGACAGCAGTGTCCTGAGCTGGGGGGGCCTTGGGAGAAACACTAACTTATCTGCACTTCACACTGTCTAGCCTTCAACTGATCAAATGCTACCATAATTGAACAGGATGTTTTGGCAAAAATACTCCACCCCTATTGATGGGAGGAGTGTTCCTGGCGGCTCACAGCAGAGTGGGTACTGCCTTTCCTCCCAAGGCAGAGAGGCTGTGCTGCGACATGGCACACGCACCGCCACAGGCTGCCTGGTGGCCCAGAGACCATCTGGGTGACGGTCACGCATCAGCCTGTATGAAAAGCCAGGGCAGACGCAGACCTCAACTGCACCGTGAGTCCCGATCCAGAGACTGGTGGGGCAGGGAGATCTCCAGGGCTCGGTGACACTGTGCGGCGGGGGCAGGAGGCGCTCCCAGCGGCCCTCCTGGTGACCTGGGCATCAGGGGATAGGCACAGGAGAAAAACCAGGGTCTCTGCTAGCAGTCGCCTGATCCCGCGGGCCCTCACGGTATGACACAGACAGGATTTCCTGTCTGGCGTGGTGGCAGCTCCTGTGCTCTGGGGGACTTAGGTCCGTGCTAATTTCCATCAGACCCACCTCGCAAACACCGAGACTCTAGAGCAGCCACTTGATCTGGGACGGGGGTCCCCGCCCGCCGCAGGGCCGACCTGAGGTCTCGTGCTTGTCCTGGGAAGGCCTGACTGCACTTGACAGGCACGAGGGCGACATGCACTCAAGAGAACGCGGGCTCCCTCAAGCTGCCACGTGTGATGGTCAATTTGGCAAAAAAAAAAAATCAATGCATAAAACCGATGACCAAAGTCCTCCTAAAGAACGTGATTATAATATATTAGCAAATTCTGTGGCATAAACATTTTCAAAAGCATCAGCAAAAGTATTAAATATAAAAGCAATGTGTATATTCCCCTCCCCACCTTCCAGGAAAAAAAAAAAACCAAAAAAACAAAAAAACAAAAACAAAAAAAACAAAAAAAGAAACAAAAAACCCAAAACCTAAGAACCAACGAAGGCCTGATCTGTAGTGTGAGGACCCGGGGCGCAGCTCCGGGTGGTGGGGCCGGCCCTACTGCCGCAGCTCCACGTAGTTGGCTGGGAAGAGCCCGTACCGGCCCTTGCACACCCCACGCCACCAGCCGTCGTCAATCATCTCGATGTTGGTGATGATGTCGTCGGGGTCAAACGAGATCTCATCATCGCCCGCTGCGGGAGAAGAACACAGAGAAAGATGCTGAGTGCAAGCGTTTCCTGGCCTGCTGGAAAAAGAGGGCGCGACCTAGAATGAGCTCCCAGGCAGCCTGCTCAGAGGAGGTGCCCCCTGCAGAGATGCCGGCACTGCAGAGAGGCCGACAGGAGCTGAGAGATGCAAAGACATACAGAGCCCTTCACACAGAACGCCACCCACCCAGACCCCTTCCTCAGGAGCAGGTTTCCACCACATCACTCCACCCCCGCCCGCCCTCCCGTCCCTTCTCTCCCTGGCAGACACATCCGTGGAGAGGGCAAGGAGAAGGGCTGTCCAAGGTCATGGAGGTGTGGAGGGACGGGCGGGGACGCCCAGAGGGAAGCCCAAGGTGATGGCTGAGATGGGAATGGAGGGCGAGAGCCAGGTGATGAGAATCCACGCACAGGTGCCGAGACGCCAGACACACTGACACGCGTGCACGCGAACGCACGTGTGCAGAAGGGACTGAGCGTGGACGGCCGGTGCTCACTGGTGATAGAAGCTCGTGGTAGAAGGCCAGCGCTCGAGCTGACAGAAAGAAACGGGAAGCGCTTGGAGGTAGCGCCTGGGGTTGTGGGGAAGCCCACGCCACGCGTAAGATGCTTGTCAACTGCAGAGGGGTGGTGGTGACTTTGTGGACAGAGGGACAGGTGGACGCCATGCCTAGCAGAGAGCTCCACCGCGTGGCCTCCACGACCTCACCGCCACCAGAGCGTGGCACAGCCTGGCCCCGAGGAAACGCGGGGAGGGCGGATGAGGCCGGCGCAGAACTGAGGCTGCTCTTAAACCGCCAAGGCTGCAAAGGGAACTCAGGAGTGAGCGGGCCACACAGGGAGCTGGCGGCCGGGGCGGGACAGGCAGGAACGTGGTCTCGAGCATCAGAGGCATCTGTGCGGCCCCCTCACCTCGAGGGTGGGGCTTGGGAAACATGCTGAAGTCTTTGGGGTGGCAGGCACCCCTGCAGCTCTCCCAGGATTCTGAGAATGCTAAGGATAACGAGGCTGTGTGTGTGCAGAGATGGAATCCGAGTGAGGGACATGGAGTGTTCTTGGTGGTACGCCTGCAACTTTTCTAAACCTCTGAAATCATCCCAAGCAAATCATTCCTAAAAGTCAAAACAACGCTGGAGAGGCGATTCCCAGGAAACGCGCAGAGGCGGCCGCCCCCGGCCTCCCCTCCGAGCGGGGCCGCGCACCAGCCTGGTAGTCGTACAGGGCGACGGCGGTGATCCCCAGGTGGTTCCCGTACTCGTCGTAGGCGCCGTCCTCTAGAAGAAAGCCAGGACAGAGCTGAGCCACACCGAGTCCCACAGCAGTCCCGGCCTTCTCAAGCTTTAGGCGACACTTCCTAAGACTCTGTCCCAAGGACACGGGATGGCAGGCGAAGCCCTCCCTTCCTCTGCCCCTGCCCACCAGTCCCCGGCACAGTGGGGATCCTCCTGGGACCCAGTACAGGAGCTGCCACCCCAAATGTACCTAGAGCCCTTCTAGGCCGGGAGAGGACGACCCTGCAAGCAGGTGAACAAACCCAGGCTCCTGCAAGGACACCACAGGCAGGGGAGGGGGGCCCGGAGCTTCCCGCCCTGGGAAGGGCGCTGCACGTGGGGCGCCGGTACCTGCAGGGTAGCGGCCGGGGACCTCTGCGCTCTCGTACACAGCCTCTGCGGCGTAGGCCAGGCCCTGCTGGCTGCCGGCCTCTCGGTAGTCAGCGGCCTCCATGCTGTACACGGGCTCCAGCTCTGGCCCGCTCACAGGACCTCTGTAGCTCATCTCTGCCTTGAAGGAAGCCGCATCCTGGGGAAGGAAGGGTCACATGCCCATGGCACGGGGCCCCTGCTGGCTTCTGGAGAGCCGAAGCCGCACTGCCACAGCCAGCAGAAACCCACCGGCCATCTCATTCTCAGCCCCAGCCAGGACTGAGAAGCAGACCCGGGAGGGGAAGGCCAGGCCGGCCATCATGTTCACCATGGCGGCGAGTGCCGGGAGGAGCATGCATTTCTTTCTGGATGATCGGTCCTCACCGCTGTAACACTCCCCAGTCCTGCAGTGACCACATCCACGCGGCATGTTGGGAGACACGCCCCTGCCTGTGCTGTTGCCTGGGAGCAGAGCCTGCCTTTGTTGGGTTAATTTGGCTGACTTATTTTTTTAGGCCTCCATCTCCACACAAGGCACCCTGGCCCTGCCTGACCGCAGCTTCACCACATGGCTGCGGAGCAGCCGAGCCTGCAGACAGGGCTCTGCCGGGAACAAATCCCCCCTGCAGAGTCCCGTAAGGGCATCACTGAAGCATCATATCCAGCTACAAAGGCGTGTAGTGGACGCCTCTTTATTCATAACTCCAGCATCTCAGCCCTAACGACATTTCTGAACCGCTTATCACCAATGGTGGCTTTAATCAACGCTTCTGACCAGGGTCCACCTGATGTCACTGGCAGTAAGTGACAGAAAGCAATGCAGACAGCTCAGAACCGTGCACCCAGGAGCTCTGGGAAGAGCCGGTGGCCGAGAACTGGCTCGCCAGGGAGAGTAACCAGGCAGGGAGAGCAACTCCACCCTCAGCGCAGGCACCGGGACCCACGCAAGGGCTGAGTGTGTGGGAGGGGCAGGCCGCTAGGCTTTCTTGTGGCAGATAGCCCTGGCTGCCAAGGGGAGGATCTAGAGGGGGCCAATTCCTGACAAGCTGCCAAGGCTTAGCCCAGCACATCCCCCCAGGCCCTAGCAGTAAGGGCAGAAGGGAGCAGCAGCAGCAGCACAGCCCGGGAGGGACAGTCAGGTGGAGGTGAGGCCTCGGCCAGCAAGGCCCAGGCCCCAGACCCTGCCCGCCTCCAGGGCTCTCTCTGGGCTCCTGAACTGCCACAGACTGGAGTGTGCGCCCCTGTAACTCACTGGCTCCTGGGTGAGGATACATGAATCCACAGACCAGGATGATGGCTACAGGACGGAGAAGGCGCAGGGCCAAGGCCAGGAGAGGTGGTGGTTAGCACAGAGGTGCTGGCAGGGAGGAGGCCCGAAGTCAGAGTCAGGTGGGGCATCAACAGGCAGCTCAGTAACTCGGGGACGAGGACCTGTGAGGGGGTCAGCAATACAGGGAGGGCCGGAGAGCACGTCTGCACACACTCGGGAGGGGCTGCAAGGCGGGAGAGCTGAATGGGGCAAGCATAGAAGGCAGGAGTTCAGTGCCAAGGGAGGGCAGCGGCCTCCAGCACAGCAGAAAGTGGGGTGAAGACCCCCTATCTGATTATCTGCTAGCAGGTGACCCCAGCGGGGACTGCAGTGAAGTGGCCAGATGGCAGCAGGCTGCAGAGGGGTAAGAGGACAGCACAGGGGCCTACAACTGTCCCAACAGCACTGGGGCATGTTGCCCACCCCCAGGCAATGCTGGCCCACCCCGATCCGGCCCGGATCGCAGCAATGCTCTCAACGTCCATGCAGTGCTGCCGGCCTCAAGGGCTTCCTCCACTACACAAACAGGGCCTGGGCTCTGGCAGTAAGTCATACCAGTTCAGACACCAGACACCAACCTCATAGACGGGGCTCGTAGGCAGCCTCTCCTCAGCCGGCTGAGGTGGGGGAGATGAAGGGGGTGTCTGTGTTTTGGCTCTGGCTTGCTCCTGTGAAAACAAACAGCAATCAGAATGCTGCCATACTGCTCTGCACTGTCACACCTGCCATGTTTCAAAAGATGGCGCCCAAGCTCTAGACACACTCTGGGGGAAGGCGTGGAATCAGGCTGAGCCGGAGCACCAAGTCTCAGATCCCTCAGCACCCAGGCCCAAGGCTGAGCCGGAGCACCAAGCCTCAGATCCCTCAGCACCCAGGCCCAAGGCTGAGCCGGAGCACCAAGCCTCAGATCTCTCAGCACCCAGGCCCAAGGCTGAGCCGGAGCACCAAGCCTCAGATCCCTCAGCACCCAGGCCCAAGGCTGAACCGAAGCACCAAGCCTCAGATCCCGTCAGCACCCAGGCCCAAGGCTGAGCCGGAGCACCAAGCCTCAGATCCCTCAGCACCCAGGCCCAAGGCTGAACCGAAGCACCAAGCCTCAGATTCCGTCAGCACCCAGGCACAAGGCTGAGCCGGAGCACCAAGCCTCAGATCCCTCAGCACCCAGGTCCAAGGCTGAATCGAAGCACCAAGCCTCAGATCCTGTCAGCACCCAGGCACAAGGCTGAGCCAGAGCACCAAGCCTCAGATCCCATCAGTACTCAGGCCCAAGGCTGAGCTGGGGCACCAAGCCTCAGATCCCATCAGTACTCAGGCCCAAGGCTGAGCTGGGGCACCAAGCCTCAGATCCTGTCAGCACCCAGGCCCAAGGCTGAGCTGGAGCCCCAAGACTCAGATCCCATCGGCACCCAGGCCCAAGGCTGAGCCAGGGCACCAAGCCTCAGATCCTATCAGCACGCAGGCCCAAGGCTGAGCCAGGGCACCAAGCCTCAGATCCCATCAGCACCTAGGCCCAAGGCTGAGCTGGAGCCCCAAGACTCAGATCCCATCAGCACCCAGGCCCAAGGCTGAGCCAGGGCACCAAGCCTCAGATCCTATCAGCACCTAGGCCCAAGACTGAGCCAGGGCACCAAGCCTCAGATCCCATCAGCACCTAGGCCCAAGGCTGAGCTGGAGCCCCAAGACTCAGATCCCATCAGCACCTAGGCAGGATCCGAGGGGAACTGTGCTCTGAGGCTGAGATCACACAGCCAGTGACGCGACAGTGGCAGGACTGGGCCACGGCTCATGTCTTATCCACACATGATTAGACAAGTCAGGCAGACTTGGGAGCCTGAGTTGATGCTGCAATGGGCTGAGACTTTGGGGACCTTAAAGTGGGCTGAGTGTGTCTGCATATGGGATAGACATGAATCTTCAGGGGCTAAAAGATGAGCTGGGGTAGAATAATGGCCTCTCAAAGCTGCTGACATCCCATCCCTCAGATCCCATGCGGAGGGACTGTGTGTGTGACGAAACTACAGGTTCTGTGAGGGGGAGATCTCTGGACTGTCTGGGTGGACTCAATATAATCAAAGGTCTCTCGAGGAGCAGGGCAGGAGTGTGAGAACAGATGGGGGCGGTGATGATGAAAGCAGAGGCTGGAGATGGAAGGATGGGGCCGCGGGGCCGCCAGGAGGAACACAGCCCTGCTGACATCTCCGAGGACTTCTGGCTTCCAGAGCTGTAGACACTAGCGGCATGCTGTCTGTGTGGTGGTGGCTACGGCAGTTAACAGGAAACTCACTGACAGCCTACGGGCTCCAGTGCCGGACGCTGAGTCTGAGGGCAAGGTGGCAGGCACAGGCATACTGGCTAGGGAGCCGCCCAGGCAGGATCTGAACCCCGTGTGTCCACTCCAAACCCCCTCCCTCCTCTGCCTCCGCAGGCTGTCTCACTCTAACGGGAACAATGGTAGTGCTGTCTTGTCTTGTTGAAGAAAAAACCACCCCTGGTCTTGAGATCCTCGCACGGTTCCTGTCATCTATGGCCTTGCCTGACCCCAACAGGACAGTTGTAAATTCCCACGTTACCTGGTGCCATCCACAGGTTAAACCCATGAAGTACCACGTGCCGTGTGGCCCTGTAGCAGGGCCTGGGGTGGGCAGAGGCCGCAGCTGCAGAGCCACGCTTGGTAACTACACACACACGCATCTGTAGCCCCCGGCTCTATTTACGGCCCCCAAATCCAGCTGAGCACAAGGAAATTCCTTGCCGGCGGGAAGCCACCCAGGCTAGACCCAAGGCACCCAGAGACAGGCTTGAGCTCTGCCCCCGCCAGGGGCATGCTTTTGGCATCTTCCTCTGGGGGCGCTTCTCCAAAGCCCAGGGGCCTGGGTGAGTGAGGGGCTGTGTGGCTGAGCAGAAGCAGGGCCCGGAGAGCAGGCTGCCTCTGCACAGAGTCCCCTCCAAACCCCAAAACTCCACCCTGGGAAAGGAGGGGCTCCTGAAGGGGGAGGAGTGAGAAGACTCGGGCTGACATCTGGACAGGAGCTCCCTGCAGGAGGAAGCCAACATGACTCTGCTGTCAGCTCCGGGACAAAGGGCCGGGCAGGCTGGCGGGTCCTGGGGCTCGGCCAGCAAGGCCAGGGTGGGGCTAGCAGGCTGCCTGGAGCATCTTGGCCAGAGACTAAGCTTACATGCGGCTGCAAGTTACAAGCGCCTTAAAGGAGGGCCTTACAGGAGAGTTAAGCATGCCTTCCAAGGAAAACCTGGCCTGAGCAGGAAAGAATAGACCCTGCCCCAGCCCGAGCCCTCAAGCCCCTCAGCTCTGATCCGAGAGAGCGTGGTCCAGCCGCCTCCTCACCGCTCACCTCCAGCTTCCTCCTGGCCTCCTCCTGCTCCTGCCGCTCCTTAGCCATCCGCTGAGCTCTCTCCGCTTCCGCCTTCCGCCGGTCCTCCTGCTCTTTCTCCTTAGCAAGGTTTTCAAAGTTAGCTCTGATGTTACTTGTTTTGCTGGTCACTACACAGGAAGGAGGGAGGACGTGTGGCTTCAGCACACCAAAAACACAGTTCCTGGACAAGAGCCCCACAGCAGGCGACCTCCCCAGAACCGGTCACCCCCTGACCCCCGAGGAGGGAACGGTTCTTGCAGCTGTGCTCAGCCCACTGGCCTGGAGCCAGCACCGGGCGCCTGCCGCAGGACACTGAGCACCTGGTGCGAACGGCGATCCCCTAAACCTGGCACCAGGAAGATCTCTAAACAAGACAGCATCTTCACCGCCACACTCACATTCTTCAACAAAAACAGCCAATTTCCCTTAAAGACGTGTGACCTTGATAAAGCAGTTAAAGGTACCAATGTATACTGAAATTGATGTATATTGAATATAGTAAATCTCAACCACTGAGTATATTTTTTGATATTCTGTGTGACAAAAATGGACCAGAGGGCAGTGGCTCATGCCTGTAATCCCACACTTTGGGAGGTTGAGGCAGGAGGACTGCCTGAGCCCAGGAGTTTGAAACCAGCCTGGGAAACATAGTGAGATCCCAGATCTATTAAAAAAAATAGTAATAATTTAAGTCGAAAGTGGGGAAGACACACGACCCCCCCCTGCTGTGTATAGGACTGTGGGGGCTGTTGCCTGTCTCAGGTACACAGATACAACTGTTAGGGCTGCAAGGTGACTGTTCTCTCATGGAATAGTGTTTTCTCCTGAAATGACAACTGACAGACACCACGGTCAGGCGAAGCTGGGTATCTGGCAGCAGTTTTCTCCCAAGTGAGTGAACTAAGCCTACTGTGTCAGGAAAAATTACTGTAGTGTTTGTCGCCAATGGGAAAACGCCAGCTTTCAAGTAAAAGAATTTTGAAAAATGGGAAGCTGCCACACGAACATGACAATTTCCACTTAGCCTCTGCCGATGAGGTTGACGATGACAGCAAGTGTGATTTTTTTGGTACTGTGTAATGAGAAAAGTGTCCGCAACTGGAAGCGTAACTCAAGAGATCCAGCACCTTCCAAAGCAGCAAGACACGGTGCTGCCCGAGCACGCTGGGGAAGCGAGCCCTTCACAGGGCCAAAGGAGCCGGCCGACAGGAACACTACCATCTGCCCAGCCTGGGCAGCACCGCAGGACTCCCTCACTCCCTCACTGCCCTCAAAGCTACGGATGGCCCTCCCTTTCCCAGCTGCCTTCCTAGGTAATTCCACACGTTCTCCCTAAGCAACGTGACGTCGACAGACTGCAGAGGCAGATGTGAGAACACAGCCGTCCTCTGTTAAGGAGATTTACAAAAACTGATCCAGGTCACTCTTCTAAGTGCTGGCATTATAGGCACGAGCCACTGCGCACGGCCCGTTTCATTATTTTTTGAGAAGGAGTTTTGCTCGTCGCCCTGGTTGGAGTACAGTGGTACAATCTTGGTTCACTGCAACCTCTACCTCCCAGGTTCAAGTAATTCTCCTGTCTCAGCCTCCTGAGTAGCTGGATTACAGGCACATGCCACCACGCCCAGCTGATTTTTGTATTTTTAGTAGAGACAGGGTTTCACCATGTTGGCCAGGCTGGTCTCAAACTCCTGACCTCAGGTGATCCATCCTCCTTGACCTCCCAAAGTGCTGGGGTTATAGCCGTGAGCTACAGCGCCTGGCCCTAGTTTTTTTTATTTTTAGGTGAACTGATTTATAACTTTCCAGCGGGTGTGGTGACTCATTTTGGGAGGCTGAGGCAGGTGATCACTGGAGCACAGTGGTTCAAGACCAGGTCTCTTTTAGTGAGACCTCAACTCTACTATAAATAAAAAAATTAACTGGGCACAGTAGCATGCGCTTATAGTTCCAGCTACTCAGAGGCTGAGGCAAGAGGACTGCTGGAGCCCAGGAGACTGAGGCTGCAGTCCTGCCTGGATGACACAGCAAGACCCCGTCTCAAAAAAGATAAATAAATAAAACATTCCTCTAATTTCTAAGATAGTCAGTGTCATCAAATACATCAACGTCTTAGGGGTTCCAACTAGAAGCCAAAGTGTCAAAGTGTCCTGGGCCCTCGAACTCCGAGAACTGCGGATCCGTGGCCCCCACGGTCAGGCAGTGGTGGCTCTCTGCGTCCTGGGCTAAATTTAGCACTTACTTTCACGTATAATATTCCCCAACTATCTGGTTCTCCCGGGCATGGCCCACCTACGACTCCATCGTGTGCCCAGCACAGAAAAGGCAGGTTTCGAGCTACCTCGTCAAGGGTCCAAGAACCAGCAGCGGAGACAATGTCTGCTGTCACCTGCACACAGACATCCTGACATCCTCCTCCTGTCGCAGCTGCGACCGAGTGGCGCAGGGAGCTGGGCAGGCCCCAGCTGCTGCTGGAAGCTGGACCCTTGTGATGATGTGCACTTAACCCCCCTCCTTGCTGTGGGAAGAGCCCCTCAAAACGGACCCCACAGAAAGAGCTGTCCACCACGCCGCGTCTGAAAGGTGACTCTAAACCTCTGCAGGAGAAACAGGATCTGCATCAAAAGGATCACTTCCCAGAAGTACGCAGCAACAACCGCGCTTTCTGCCAGCGGTGCGTCTGCTCCTGGCTCTGTTTCACAACTGTCCTTCCCCTCAGTGTTTTGCTGGGGAACCACACAGTGCTCCTGGGATCAGCCGGGACTCACCGGCTTCAACAGGTACCGTCTTCCGGTAGGCAGAGGGCACCTGGGCGACATCCTCAAAGGTCGACGCGTTCTGTGGAGACAGGAAGTGGGCGTCAGGAAGGCCCTTGTCCCTCTCCTCCACGCTCTGTGATGGCTCCTACCAGATGCAAATACCTTCCCTAGATCTTCCCGAAGGCCCAGGACATAGCCCGGAGCGCTCATCGTGGCCTCTCGGTTTTTCACATTATCCGAGGCATGAAAAATATTACCAACCACATTTGTAGGCGACCATGAGTCGACATAAGCATAAGAAAGTATCTCCATCTGCTCTATCATAAATCAATTCTGGGACCAGCTTCAAGCTCTTTCCCACCCTCCCTCGCCACCCAGAGGTGTGAGCATTTACAGGAAGACGACGCTGGGGACACACGCAAGCCTCGGGTGGCCTGTCCTCCACACTTCCCAGTGGTGCAATCACACCTCTCTGCTTTGTAGGGGACACAACTCTGGTCTGAGCAAACGATGGCGATGACTCTTAAGTGCTGACTCAGGCGCAGACTGGCAGGGCTCGTGGAGACCAGTGGCCGTGCCCAGGTTTACTGCAGGTTTCACCACCTCTGATGAGAAGCTCTGAGGCTCAGAAGCCACCAGAGCCCCCACCCCACGGCCCCTTTCTGCCCAGCACCTCCTGCTCGCCCCCATTCCTGACCCGCCCCTCCCTCCTCGGACCCTGCTCCCTCCTCCTGTCGGTCAGCTCCTGGGTCCACTCCGTGTCCCCTGAGCCGCTCACACCTGTTCAAAGGCAAGGCGATCAGCCTTACTGGGTCCCATCACCTGCCAGAATCACTGGAGACATCGCCTCGCCCTCAGGGGACAACCTCACCTCACAACCTCGGTTGTAGCCCCAATGCCACGATGTAGTGGGACCCGGGCAGTTGAGTCACCCTCTCTAAGCTTGGGGCTCAACTGCATAGCAAACCGAGACAGAGAGAAGCACCACCCCCTCCTGGATTAAAGACAAGAACCCCAAAGGCAGGACCCCCACGCTGCCTCCCCATGTGCTCACAAGCGGTCACCGCCAAACCATCAACGCTGACCACAGATACCCATAGCACAGGCAGCCCCTCAGGTTCCAGCCTCAAACCCACAACCTGTGGCCCACCCACAGGGGAGCTCATTCCCTCCACCCATCCTGGCGCTTTGCAAGGCCCCTGCCACCTCTGGGTCCCCTGCCTAGTGTCCTGACCACACACCTACTCCCCCTCCCCACTCTGCACGCAGTGGGCCCAGCCCCGGCCCTCCCCAAGCTGTCTCTCACTGACACCCACATCTGCTCCTCCCAGTTCTCCAGCTCCACAGTTGGCCCCACATCCACCCAAAGCGGATCCCTGCACTGTCCCTTGCCTGCTAAACTTTTCATGGTCGAGCATGTCACATAATGATGTGCAGAATGCTCTATAGCAGGCGTCCCCAAACTGCGGCCCCCTGAGGCCATTTATCCGGCCTCCCACTGCACTTCAGGAAGGGGCACCTCTTTCATTGGTGGTCAGTGAGACGAGCACAGTATGTGGCGGCCCTCCAACGGTTTGAGGGACTGTGAACTGGTCCCCTGTGTAAAAAGTTTGGGGACACCTGCTCTATAGCATTCGACGCTCTCCGGGGCTGGCTCTAGCCCTCCTCCCCACCCTCCGTCTGCAGCTCGGCTCCTTGAGAATCTACTGTGACTCCTGAGAATCTACTGTGACTCCCACCCAGGCCCACGCCTTGCCCTTCTGTGGTCTCCTGAGCTTTCTCCTGGTGAACTCCCAGCTGCCCTCAGAAATGGGCTCCCTGGGGACCCCAGCCCAAACACCTGCTCTGCCTGCCCACACCAGGAGTCCCCGGATGGCACTGTGTGGTCAACTGCAAGGCAAGGACTGACCCTGCCACCCGTGACCGCCAGCCATGCACAGGAGCAGGCAGTGTGGAGTCTGAGTCTCTGTGAGGCTGAAGACAGGAGACAATGCATCGTCACACAGGCAGCGCCGGCCGCCAGCGGGGCAGCCCCACACAAAGTCTCACACACTCAGGTTCCAACCTGATTTACTGTTAAGAATTTCAGTTCAAATGGACGTGAGCCCTCGAGGCCCTCACCGCTCATGCTGACCACCCGGGTTCCTGTGGCCGCCCAGGCGTCCACTGCTGTGCCGCAGCAGGTGCTGAGCCCGCCTGGCCTGCGCCCCCAGCTAGGAGACGGGCCAGTGCCAATCCCACCCCACAGCGTGGCCATGAAGGGGACAGGCCTGTCCGATTGCCACCGCCGCCGCCGCCGCCACGACGGAAATCACATGCGCAGATGGCGGCCAGCAGTGAGCCACGCCCACCCACAAGACACCAAGCCCCGGGTCTGAGTATTTACCTTATCCATCCGATCCTTCTGCACCCCATACTTCCCGCCGAATCCTTTGGAATAGTCTGAAACGTGGCAAAACACGACACTTACTGCGAGGTGGAGGCGGGCGTGGGGCCGACCGCGAGTGCATGCAGAGACGGAGACAGCCCAGGAAGGTGCGCCGCAGCGGAAGGAACAGCAACAGCCAAGCGAGGCTCTACTTGCAAGGCAAGCTTTGCTTCCACCCAGGGCCACGCGCCGCAGGCAGGGGAAGCCGAGCGCAGGCCAGGGGCGGGAGGGGCGGGCGGGGCGGTGGGCAGCGGGCGGCGGGCTGAGGGAGCTAAGCCGAGGAAAGAGGGCAGGGACAGGCCTGTGCAGCACGCCACTTCAATAGCACAGTCTTCCGCACCAGCACGGGCTTATTCTCATCTGCCTCCTGTGCTCCTGCTCTACTGAGCGCTAAAAAGAGGCTCAATCGCAGTTTGTTCTCTTGCTTTTTAAAAGAAAAAAAAAAACCATGTGGAAAGTCTACCAGCCAAACACTTCTGTTGCAGCAACACAGATCCACATGAAAGTCACACGGTCATGCAGAGTGAGGCCACGGAGAGCCACCGCCATCTCCATGCAGTCTGTGGGACCGCCCGGGGGTTCACCTGCCCAGGCCTCAATACTGCTGTGCGTTTCTAACGCCGCAGGTGGGAAGCCTAGAATCTGCCCCGCAGGGTTAGGGAATGATTGTTTTTCCAATTACGTGTTCAGGCTCTAACAAGTCAGTCCAGATTCTGAAGGTCACAAAGTAACTGCTCTAAGGAAGGGTGCGTAGCTGGCTTCACGCACACTGTGTGGCTCTGTGTGGAGATGTCACACATACGGTGTCATCAAACGGAACAAACGAGAAACCTCCCACCCCTGGCCAAAAACACCACCACAAATGACACACAGAGACCACGCGGGACGCGCCTGTCTTCCGGGCCTTGCTGCTACGAAGCCCCTGGTCAAATGGCCAGTAGCTTCGTTGGAGTAAACACCTCTCTTGTCATCTGGAAAGCAGGAAGGCCTGACTCAATGGCTCACCGCAGTCACATTAACGGCAGAACAGCCTCGGGCAGGATGCCACTGGAGAGCGGACATGCCCGGTCCAGAGACATCCTGGATGAGTCACAGGGTTAGAAAGACGACACCCACTCACTAACTGGCGCTTCCTGCCATACGCAGATCGCAAGCATACAGGGAAGAAAGCGAAGGAACAGCTCAACATCAGTGTCGCTCTAACAGATGTGGGTTTAAGTGCCCAATGGCCTGACAGCTGACAGCTGGTGACACAGGAGGATCGTGTTGCAGGTGCTGATGGTGAGCCCTGAAGTCTGTGCTAGAAGTGGCTGCACGGGAGGGGGTGGGGGAGGTAGGAGGCTAGTGGCAACTGTGCCTTGCTGGGACTCGTGCTTGGCCAGCTTCTCCTTGTAATCAAACCCCACGGCAGCAGAGTCCTGCCTCTCCGACTGAACACCGAATTTGCCTCCAAAACCAGTCTTATAATCTGAAAATCCACAAGCAACAGTCGGGAAAACAACCGAGAGAGAAAACACAGTTGGGTTAGAGTTACAGGAGCATGTGCAGAAGCAAATACTGTTTCCAGAAAGCAAGGGCTCTCCGGATCACAGCCTTCAAGATCCAACCCCCAGGCTCAGTGCTGGCTCAAAGGTCAATGCTAAAGAATGAACTGAAAATCCAAACACTCAGCCAAGATCCGGAAACAGGCTAAGAACTGTACTTGAAATAATACAGTAAAGGCACTCCAGGCTATGCAGCTCATTCCGAGGGTCCTACCCACACTGCAGATGAGTGTGCACCCGCGTCCCCGGGAGGAGAGGCCCTGAAGACGCGGAAGGCGCCACAGCTGCCTCAGCCCTGCTCCTGCCTGTCTCGGGACTGGCTCACCCTGGGAGGTTTCAGTCCCCTTAGACTCCTTTTCCTAGGGATGGGGGACCTGTTCTGACAAGAAAACACTTCCGGTTCAAACTAAGTATCTCCTGCCAAAAACCACAGCCCACTTTATAGACAAGAAACATGGACTAGGAGCACTGCTTCTTTTGCACCTTCTGAAGGCAGAAGACAAGCGCATCCCAGAAGTGCTGAAGGCTTGACCCAGCCCCCTGCTGCAGGCTTGACCCATGTCCCCACTCCCTAGCTGAACCCAGCCCCCTGCTGCAGGCTTGACCCATGTCCCCACTCCCTAGCTAAACCCAGCCCCCTGCCGCAGGCTTGACCCATGTCCCCACTCCCCAGCTGAACCCAGCCCCCTGCTGTAGGCTTGACCCATGCTCCCACTCCTCAGCTAAACCCAGCCCCCTGCTGCAGGCTTGACCCATGTCCCAACTCTCCAGCTAAACCAGCCCCCTGCTGCAGGCTTGACCCATGTCCCTGCTCCCCAGCTAAACCCAGCCCCCTGCCGCAGGCTTGACCCATGTCTCCACTCCCCAGCTAAACCCAGCTGCCTGCTGCAGGCTTGACCCATTCTCCCACTCCAGGGGAAACCCAGACCCCTGCTGCAGGCTTCACCCATGTTCCCACTCCCAGGGGAAACCCAGCCCCCTGCTGCAGGCTTGACCCATGACCCCACTCCCAGGTAAACCCAGTTTCCTGGGCACCACCCCCATGTCAGTGGGGAGGGGTTGTGACTACCCTAGCTGGAGGGTTTTTGGAACTGGGGGACTGGGGGTGCACAAAGGACAACTTCAAACAGCGAAGACAAAACAACGTGCAGCAGGCACACGCAGACACAACACACACCAACTGACCCAGCAGCAACAAAAACAGGCTTCCCAAACCATCTCCAGGACGGGCAGAGTCAATGTACCTTTTTGGGATTCATGCAGCTGCAATTTCTCCTGGTGATCCCAGCCAAGGGCACATTTGTCTTGTCTGTCTGTCTGCACACCAAATTTTCCTCCAAACCCTTTCACATAGTCTACATGCACAACAAAAGGCCAGAACCCATCATTAACAGGTAGCGTGGGTCACAGGTAAAAGTATGTTTTCAATAGCTAAATACACACGATTCACTCAATCGACCCTTGCCTTCTGGATCCCTGGTAGTATTTTAGATAACATCCACAAAGAGGCCCTCCTTGGAGAGTGGCAGAAAATAACCTGGCCTATGACCTCGGCATTGTGACTAAGCCAGACAGGACCCCACGGAAGCTCCCACGCATGCAGCTCCTGCCCGCACCACGAGGCAGCACAGGCTCACACGCACAACGCAGACGTGCGGAGCGCGGCCGCCACGACAAGCAACGCTGCTGGGCTGGAGCGTCAAACACGCTAAGGCTCCGAGTTCTGATTCAGCAGCTGCGTTTCTGGATTTGCCGTCTACGTTAGGGGCTGTCAGTGTTTTTTCTTCCCTGTCACATTAACAGCGGCTGCCTAGAGAGTGAGATAAAGCTGAAGACACCTTTCTGGGACTCGTGCTTCTCCGTTTTGCCTTGATACTCAAAGCCGACGGCGCTCTTGTCCACTTTGTCCTTGTCAATACCGTATTTGCCGCCGAAACCTTTGGAGTAATCTAAAAACAAACAACAAAAAAAGAATGACATAAAAAGGAGAAGTGAAATCAGTGGACATGCAAGGGTCTTAGCGGTCCTTAACAAAGTATTTGATCATTCAATTAAAAAAACACAAAAATCCCTCAGGTCCCCTGCAGCAACACCGAATAATACAGACAATATCTGAACGTGCTACTTATGTGCAATAACAGCAACATAAAGACTGGTCAGCAGACGTGGAGGCGTGTGCCTACAGCCCAGCTACTCAGGAGGCTGTCCATCCTAAGCAACATGGCAAGACTCCATCTCCAAGTTAAATCATTAACTATACATTTAAAAAACAGGCCAGGCACGGTGACTCACACCTGTATTCACAGCATTCTGGGAGGGCGAGGTGGGTGGGTCACCTCAGGTCGGGAGTTTGAGACCACTCTAAGCGGAGGCGGCGGCCCAGGGGCCAGGCTTTCAAAGGCCACTCCGTTTCACCAACTGAAGCAAGCAGAGGGATGCCAGGAAACAGGACACAACACAGAGCAGCTTCCGGAAACATCAGTTCACCTCAAAATGAAGCCACTGAGCATGTCACTCTGACACCAAACCACGACGCTCTCGTGGACCCACTGAAAGCACAAACACAGAGGCTCCAGGCCTGAAGCGGCCTAGGAGCCCCACGTCCGTGCTCCCCGGCTCCCTGCAGTCACACATTCATCTCACATTCATGTGGCTTCCTGGAGCACGTGGTGCTCAGGACTGTGCGGCATCAGGAAGGCGAGGAACGGATTGTTCTCGGGAAAGAGAGCGAGAGAGGAAAGAGGCCTCGTGCAACTGGCAGGGCCTGCAAACGCCGGAGCCGTAACGGGAGCCCAGGGAAGCCCATGTGAGACCGGGCCAGGCTGCGACCAACTGCTGCAAGCCAAGCTGCCCTTCAGGCCGCCGGTACTTTCCTCAGGGAAACGCCTGCCAGCGTGCTGGATCTTCCAGGAGTGTTTCTTGGTTCGGGGTATTTATTTTTCAAAGAAATCTGAGTTTTTAAATAGTCAAGCTCTCAGTTTTCAAATGTGAGCAAATATTTTAAAAAAACGTAAATGTGCAGGCCAAACGAGAGAGGGGCAGGGAAGCCAACAGGCCGCACCCTCTGCAGCGCTGGGTGAGCGACGTTGACGGGGCATGCAGTCAGTGGCCAAGCAAGTCAGCACAGCCTCCACAGGCAACGTGGCAGCATCTAGGGAAACTTTACACTCGATAGCCTTTGACCCAGCACTTCCTGGTCTAGGAGCTGATCCTTCTGAATGATCGCTCGTGTCTAAGACACAGGTACAAGATGTTCCTGCATTCAATTTTTGGCCAGGCGCAGTGGCTCACGCCTGTAATCTCAGCACTTTGGGAGGCTGAGGCAGATGGATCACCTGAGGTCAGAATTCGAGATCAGCCTGGGCAACATGGCAAAACCCCGTCTCTACTAAAAACAGAAAAATCAGCTAGGCGTGGTGGCGTGCACCTGTAATCCCAGCTACTCAGGAGGCTGAGGCACAAAAATCACTTGAACCCAGGAGGTAGAGGCTGCAGCGAGCCAAGATCATGCCACTACACTCCAGCCTGGGTGACAGAGAGAGACTCCATCTAAAAGAAGAAAAGAAGAAATATTTTACAGGTCACGCCTGTAACTGCAGCACTTAAAGAGACCAAGGTGGGAGAACTGCTTGAGACCAGGAGTTCAAGACCAGTCTGGGTAACATGGCAAGAGCCCATCTCTACCAAAAAAAAAAAAAAAAGAGAGAGAAAAAGAAAAACCCTAAATTCCACATTCAAATGAGGAATGGTGATGTGGACTACGGAATCCTCACACGGCGGGGACAGTGCAGCCATTCGAATGAGGAAAAGCCCAAATCCTCTGGTACAAAAAGAACAGCAAATGTTTTAAGTTAAAAAAATACAGCGATCCATGGGTTCGGAGAGAAAATGCCCTCATGCGTGCTTCTGTGGGTAAACCCACGATTACAAGGACTGGGAGGCCACCCACCTCTCTGTGACTCGTGTTTCTCCGTCTTGCCTTGGTAGTCAAAGCCCACAGCGCTCTTGTCTACGCGGTCGGCCTGCACGCCATACTTGCCGCCAAAACCACTGGAGTAGTCTGAAGAGACAGGGCAGCGGTTAGCACATGGGCCGGGTAACAAACTGAGCAAAAGCGTGTAGGGGTTACAACTCACAAACAGATCAAGCACACGTTTTAAAACATATGAGCCACCCACTGCTTCATACGGGTGGCGCTGGACACATTTCACATCAGGGGCCTGGTGGGGTTCTGGGTCCTGTCAGCTGTCACAGGGCAGCTTCTCTGTGTTGTTTGAAATGAAGCCGCGTGCCCACTTTGAAAATCAGCTGCTTGGGTAAAAGTTATAAAGCCTTACACAAAGTACCAGCACTTCAGGAGGCTGAAGCGGGCAGATCACCTGGGGCCAGGAACCTGCCCAAAATGGTGAAACCCCATCTTTACTGAAAAATAGAAAAATTAGCCAGGGGTGGTGGCGCACGCCTGTAATCCCAACTACTTGGGAGGCTGAGGCAAGAGAACTGTTTGAACCCAAGAGGCAGAGGTTGCAGGGAGCTGAGATGGCACCACTGGATTCCCAACTGGGCCACAGAGCAAGACTGTGTCTCAAGAAAACACACACAAAACAAAAACCAAAAAAAAAAAAAAAAAAGGAAAGAGAAAGCCTCATCTGAAGCCACACAGCTGAACACTGCAGATAAGACACTGATCCTCCGCCTGCCCACCCCACAGCTACCGACACCCAGACTGCAGCTAGGCTGTTTCAGGACTGAGAGATTTTCCCGGATGACGCAAGGCCACAGGAGAGGAAGAACGAAATAAGCTTGCAAAAAATAAGCTGAGAAATTTAAGGTAGCAATATGCCTTGGTCTTTCAAAAATGAGACTAGTATGATGTAATGAAGATTAATCCCCAGCACAGTAAGACCGTATGTGCATAATGAAAACAAGAATTTAACAACTCTGGTTTCTATCCTGTGGGGCGGGGGGCAGGGAGTTAGCTTTTTGCCAATAAACCTGAGAACTCTCTTTTCTAGGAGCAGCACCGCCCAGATGAAGGGAAGGTGGCTTCCGCCACAAGGGGGAGGCCCCACAATGACACCAGATGCCGGGGCTCCGAGGGGGCTGCTCTGAGGGGGCGCTCTGAGGGGGCTGTGTAATGGGGGACACATCCATCATATGGCATCCGGATGATCAAGAAACAAGAGAAGAGCCGAATCCTCCTTATGCAACAGCCACCGCCCAGGAAACAGTTCCAGGAATGATGCAAGGCTGGAGAGCATCACCATTCCTGGGCAACATCATCACTCCTTTCTTCACTCTTCCTCTCTGTGGCCTCCTCCCATCAGGGCCCCTGGAGCACCGGCCTCTTTCTGTGCTTCTCACATCTTACCTTTCTGGGAGGCGTGCTTCTCAGTCTTCCCCTGGTATTCAAAGCCTACGGCAGACTGTGATGACCAAAAACACATTGAAACATGGGGAGAAATACATTTGTTCAATGTCCCCAAACCAATCTCTCTGAATTCACGACATAGGAAATTTTAAAAACCATGAAACACGTCGTTGTGACCTCTAAGTCCTAAGCCAAGTGTAGGTGACAGTAAAGCAAGAGCTCTGGCCTCCTAAGCAGACAGGCCAGCGAACATTCCACAAGGCCCAGAGAGCAAGGGGGCCCAGCTGGATCCCCGGGGACCTGACGTGCCCAGCACGTGGCGGCCAAGCTGGATCCCGGGGACCTGACGTGCCCAGCACGTGGCGGCCAAGCTGGATCCCGGGGACCTGCCCTCCCCAGCACGTGGAGGCCAAGCTGGCCCCCGGGGACCTGCCCCTCCCAGCACACGGCGGCCAAGCTGGATCCCGGGGACCTGCCCTCCCCAGCACGTGACGGCCAAGCTGGATCCCGGGGACCTGCCCTCCCCAGCACACAGCAGCTAAGCTGGATCCCCGGGGACCTGCCCTTCCCAGCACACGGTGGCCAAGCTGGATCCCGGGGACCTGCCCTCCCCAGCACACGGCGGCAGGGTGTGCGCAGCTGATTCATTCCACGGGCTTTACAAAAACTTGCTGTTCAAATACGCCACGCTGAGAACATTAATATTAATAACAAGAATAGCAGTGGCCACTGGGGTGCACCCCTGCCAGCCGGGCACTGCGAGGGGCATCTGAGCACACGCCTGTGAGACAGATGTGATCCTTCCCCTCATTTCACAGACACATCAATTCGGAATCGTGGCTAACATGTCACAAGGCCACAACCTGCCACTGGCATCAGCTCCCTCCAGTCTCCTAATCGCTCCACTATGAAACAAAGGAGCCAACAGCCCCGAGCCGAAGAGAATCAGAGAAGAGGCTCAGGCCTAGGGTGACTGCAATACCCAGACACAAAGCCTGAGTCCGGGACCCAAGGAGCACATCCTGCTCCCCAGTACAGGCTCAGATGTCACTTTGTCACAGTCACACACACGTGAGAAGCATAGGTGGAAGTGGTCCCTGCTGGCACATCTGGACAGACAGCGCCGTCCAGTACTGGGGCATGCAGTGAAGAGTGGCCGCAGGGACTGCTACAGCAAGCCCACTGTGTCCTGCCTCCCCGGTGGGCCCAGGCTCTCAGAGCATCCCGGGAGCGATTTGCCCCTCTCTGCAGTCCCCCAGAGCTGGAGGCCACCTGCCTGCTACTACCAATGGCCCAACGGGACTGAGATCCATGGGGAACACCCCCCTTGCCCCAGCCGGCCCTAGCGCCACATCACTCACCTGGTCAACTCTGTCCATCTGGACACCAAACTTGCCTCCGAAGCCACGGACCGAGTCCACCTGTGAGCAGTGCTTGGAAAGTTTCGACTGATATTCGTGGCCAACAGCTGACTGAAACAGGGTCCAAACACAAAGCATTAGACACTGACGGCCCTGCAGCACTTCGCTTGCTCCCAGAGCAGGGCTCGGGGAAGCCACCTCCTGGTCAGTGAAGGGAAACCTTATGTCAGCACCCCCAACGGGGGAGCCAACAAAGGGGACCCAACGCCTGGGAGACTCGGGTCCTTGGTCCAGGTTGACGTGGCCACCCCAGCCCCTGGGCTCCTGGAAGCTGCACATGAAGCCTGGCCACAGGTCAGGGCCACCAGTGGGGACTTCTGACACGACCGGGCATGAAGAAGGGGCACAGGGCTGGCAGCCTGCAGCAGGATCCGCGAGACCCACTGGGGGGGACGCTGCTGGCCTCCACTGAAGTGGGGCCTCTGCCAGTCACAACCCAAGAATCAGCACAACAAATAGTCTGCAAATGAACAACTTCGTTCTGATAGACTATAAACAACAACAGTATGCAGAACACAGACTCACATTCGATTTGAGCAGCACCCCATTCAGGCAGGAGCCAGGTGCTGGCCACCAGCCACCTCATTTCAGCAGCATTCATGTCCTCAGCCCCCGCCAGTGCACACAGGTTTGAGGACCTTCTGTTCCCCAAAGCCAGCAGGTAAGCCTAGGGTTCGCCAGCCTTTCCAGACCCAGCACCCAGCTCTTTCTGTAAATAACATCTCTGGGACAGGGCCACACGCATTCACCAGCGTGCTGTCCATAGCTGCTTTTGTGTCTGGCAGTTTCGAAGAGAGATCCTCTGGTGCATGAAGTGGAAAAGATCTCCTCCCTCAAAGAGCTGGCCCCGCCCAGCCCTGCCAGCCCCACCGAGGCCCCCGGGTTCCGGGCTCCCTCCTCACAGCAGAGCCGGGTCAGGGGCTCCTTCGTGAACAGCATGGGCACATGGCCCAGCAGAGGGCATGGAGAAAGCCTTACTCCCTCTCCTATGTGGAGCCCCTCATTCTAACCCAAGCAGCATGCCACGGCGGTGCTGACACACAGCTGGCAACTCAGTGTCCACTCTCTTCCCTAATGAGAAAGCAGCTTTCGCCCTAAGCCTCGGGCCTGGGCTGCGCCATTTTCTTCCCATGTTGTTCTGAGGTCAGCAGCTGACTCCCTGTCCACATGAGCCGTCACCTCCAAACCCTCTGCAGCAGGGACGGCCGGCCCGTCATGTCCCCAGGGTCTCACCCAGAAAACAGATGAACGGGTGGCAGAGGCAGACTATGCAAAGGGATTCCCCAGCGTGAATTTTTATCAGAAGGCAGTATGACAGCCAGGCAAAGCTTCCAGCTTTCTCATCTCACAGTAACAAGATCACGTCTTATGAAAGAGTCACACAGGGAAGACCGTCTTGAAGCCTGAACGCGTAGACTCAGGGCTCCGGGATGCAAGGAGCCAAGGGAGCAAGAAGGAAGCCAGCCCCACGCGACGGACCCAGCCACCGCCGGTGCCAAGGGGAGAACGCGGTGCGCGATGGACGCAGCCTGAAGCCCCAGTGTGAACAGAATCCCGACAGCCCTCGCCAGACCCTTCTCGTGTGCTTGTCCTCAATGTGTTCTTTTTTTCTGGAAGTCTCCAGCACATATTTCTCAAGTCTTAACACAGGGATTTCCATTTTTTATTTTTTTTCCAAATTCTGGAGTGGACAAATAACTTAAGCCACTTTCCCTTCGGTTTGGAATCTGAGTTTGGTCTGTTTGTTTCCTGAGGCAGAGTCTCTCTCTGCTGCAAAGGCTGGGCCACAGTGGTGCGATCCTGAGTCACTGCAGCCTCCATCTCCCAGGCTCAAGTAATCCTCCTGCCTTAGCCTCCAAAGCCACTGGGACTACAGGTGTGCACCGCCATGCCCAATTAATTATTTTTTTGTAGAAACAGGGTCTTGCTATGTTGCCCAGGCTGCTCTCAAACTCCTGGGCTCACGCAATCCTCCTGCCTTGGTCTCCCAAGATGCTGTGATTACAGATGTGAGTCCCGGTAGCCGGCCCTGAGTTATTTTTGACAACAGATCTGCCCCGTGATGCTCACCTGAGCTGGAAGCTAACCTTGCCCAGATGCCAGCTAGGACCAAGCAGCAGCAGCGCCCCATGCTGGCCTTGCCCTGCCAGGAAAGCTCTCCAGCGTGCTGGCTGACAGGTGAGAGCGAGGCTCCACAAGTCTGCTGGGCTCCACCAGGGAATCGGCTTAAGAGGCGGGGCTCATGGTGCCAGGCCAGGCACGGGGTGAAGATGACAAGTCCCAATCCTTGAAAAGCCCAGCCCAGAGCGGACGGCTGATGAGGGAAGCAAAGGCTGCCTCGGAGAGGGCACAGGGGATGGGGAAGTGAGGGCTCTTCCAGAGAGCTCCTGGCACCCGAGAGGGCCTGAGCTGCAGGTTCCAGGGTGAGCGAGATTCGGGCAGCAGAGAAGCCAGCCACAGCCGCTTCCTCACCAGGCTCTCCCTGGACACATCTCCTTTCTCTCCCACAATGTGTAATCTTCCCAACCCAGAGCAGGGAGCCCCATTTTTAGAATAAACTTCTCTCTGTGCTAACTCCCCACAAGCCCCAAGTAGGTAGAAACAAGGCTTCTACCTACTTGCTTGGCTCACTGCACTGAACACAGGGGATCTGTCTTTCCATCCAGTACTTCGCTGACTGCATGGAACACGGGTCCGTCTGCTCGTCGGCACTCCTAAAAGCTACCAGACTTTTTTTTTTTTTTTTTTACTTCAAAGATAAGTATTCTGCACAGGCTGCTCTTCTCGGTGTCAGGGCATCTCTGTGGTAATGACACAGCAACATCCATGTCTCTTTCCTGCAGACAGCCCCCACCCCACTCTTCCCCCAGGCTATTTACGGTCATGCTCTGGGTTCCCCGCCGGCCCCTCATATCATCTGCTCTGCAGGGGACAGAGCAAGATACAGCTCACTGTGACACAGCAAGGTCATGCCATGCCCAGCTCAAAATGTTTATCCGACCAGTACACCAGGTGGGAGAGGAATGGAATTACCAACTGGAACCCAACACCGGCTGACAGACTTCTTTCCGTAGAGTGACGGCAAACATCCATCAGGCACAACAATCTTAGGTTGCTCAGACTCAAAAGTTCACCTGCAGGATGTCTGCAGAATGCAGGGCCCTGTTTCCTGAAGAAACATGCAGACACACTGCAGTCTCTTCCACCTTCTCTCTCCAGGAAGGAAAACGGTAGCCCTCCGGAGCTAACGCTGCTCCCTCTCTCAGGGTGGAGCCAGACGCGTTTAGCCAACGTCCTCGATCCACATCGGCACGGCAGTCTGCATCCGTCAACGATGGCTCCCGGGAGGCTCAGGCACACCTCTCCAACAGAGGGAGCTCTTTCCCCAGCCTCGTGGGCGCCGACCTGACATGACGGACAGACTGCTCTGAAGGCCACTAAACGCATGAAGGACGTTAGCCAGGCCTTCAGCTGAATGTCCACGTGTGTCGTCAACCACGGGAGCCTACGATTTGATTTTGGTCTTCGGATCGGCATGACTTAGGCTGCAAGCTGGAACTGCTGATGATGCCAACACCTGGAGACAGCATGCTTCTGGACTTCTGTCCTGATCACAAAGCCGCCTCTGGGGACCCGTCTCCCTCTAGGCCTCCCTGTGTGACACTCATGCTCTAGCACCTCTGCGGTTCTTACAGAGCTTTAAGGAAAGCCAGGGTACTTCACGGGCAAGTCCGATCCACAGGGACGTCTCAGGGCGAATTTCAACCCCAGCAGATGGACTCAAAACTGCTGATGGAAGGAAAGTCTGAAGGACAGCTGTGCCAACCAGACACGGGGTCCGAGCACACAAAAAGGCGGCACAGGCGGCCGCGGGCCACTCACCTTGTCCATTCGGTCCTGCTCCACGCCAAACTTCCCTCCGTAGCCGTGGGAGGCTTTTGGTCCCGTTTCAAGTTCCTTCTCCTTAAGGGTCTGATGTTCTTGAAAGACATTCTCTCTCAGCTTGTGTATGCTTGAAGGAAGAAAGAGGAAAACGGGAACAAATCAATAAAACAGATGTGCCTCTCTGCCTCCTGACATGGTAAGTAAGAACAGGTGACACTGTCTTTGTGAATCTGGAAATCTGCTTGTTCGCCAGGTCTCTCCCCGCACCGTGCTTTCCTGACTATCCTGCCGGCTGGTACCCACTTCGGCAGCCCTCAGTGTGAGATGTGAGATGCGTGCTCCGTAGGAGAAGGAACCCAGATCGGAGCACAGTGGGATCACCCCGAATCCCCGCTAAAGACGGCTCTTCTGAAACCTGAGCTTTATTTCACACAGGGAAAATAGGAAAGCTAGTCTGTAATCATCCAGAGGTAGAGGGGAAACGGAGGCTGAGCTCCCTTTCTCTAGCCACTGGCAGAAGTCCACTGGTGCTGAACATCTAGATGGTTCGTCTTCACTTGAAGTACTCCAGTTTTTCACACATTCAAAGATGAGAAGAAAGTGGTTCCGAATTTAACATCCAAACACCATTAAAACATTTTTAGTATCGCCAATAATGAAACAGATCAAAGGATGCAGTAAAAATCTGGCAGGCCGGACAGAGCTGTCATTGCGAGACCCCACAGTGGTACGAAGGCCACTTTTGCATTCAGACTTTCTGCCCAGGAGACACCAGGCCGCCACCTCTGACATCTGGACAATAATCCTAGAACTGAGGATGAAATACAAACCAGGCTTGGAAACCACCCAATACCCTTACGAGCAGGGGAAAGAAAGACACCACTTGTAAAACCTGGGAAGGCCCCAGAGCATGAAACATGGTCCTATTCCCCACATGTTCCTCTCTGAATCCTAACCAATCCACAGGCTTTTGTACTGGACAGTTCTGTGTTTTCTCCAAGCCACCCTCCAAGACACGTTTTAAAGCCACAGGGAACAGAAGAGATGAGAAGAGGTATGACGACTCAACGACCTAGCCCCACGGCAAACACCCAAGGCTACAGTGGACTCCTAAGTCAGCCCCATTCCAGCCTCTTGTCCTGGGCAGCCGCATGGCCCTTGGAGTTCTGAAGCTGCTTCTGTGGCAGTCTGCTGAGCAAGCTAGGGAAGGACTAAAACTTGTATATAAAAAGTCAGTGTGGCCGGGTGCAGTGGCTCACACCTGTGATCGCAGCACTTTTGGAGGCCGAGGCAGGAGGATCACCTGAGCATAGGAGTTTGAGACCAGCCTAGGCAACATGGTGAAACCCCGTCGCTGCTAAAAATACAGAAAAATTAGCCAGGTGTGGTTACAGGCACCTGTAATCCCAGCTACTCAGGAGGCTGAGGCAGGAGAATCACCTGAACCCGGGAGGTGGAGGTTGCAGCGAGCTGAGATCGCACCATTGCACTCTAGCCTGGGCGACAAAAGCGAAACTCTGACAACAACCAAAAAAATGCCATTGTGGGCCAGGTGCAGAGGCTCACCCCCATGATCCCAGTACTTTGGGAGGCTGAGGCAGGAAGATCACTTGAGCCCAGGAGTTCAAGACCAGCCTGAGCAACAAAAGCAAGACCCCGTCTTTCCAAGAAATAAAAGAACTCAGCTGGCCAGGGTGGCACATACTCATGGTTCCAGCTACTCAGGAGGCTGAGGCAAGAGGACTGCTTGAACCCAGGAAGTCAATGCCGCAGTGAGCTGTGATTGCATTACTGCACTCCAGCCTGGGTGACAGAGTGTGATCCTGTCTCAAAATAAACAAATAACCTTTAAAAATAAAGTAACAAGCCACTGTGAGGATTGTGCCTTCTTTTCTGGATGACTGACTGACTCTTTCTCAGCGGAAGGGCCCATGGCCAAGTCAGACAGTCTTCCCGGGGTACTGAGGCAGTCACCGGGTCAGTGGTGCTGCCTTCACAGCCAGGGAAAAGGAGGATACACTCTGAACCCAGCGTGGTCCAAAATAAAAGTCTGAGCACATTTTATAAGTTCCTTTTATCTACATTTCCTGACGAAAAAAACGGCCCCAAGAGCTGGCATTTTAGATAGTGCTAAGTGGGAAAGAATGGCAGGGTTCACGCAGCGCCCGATGCTACCCCGGGCTTGTGATAGGAACAGAGCTCACAGTACCTGACTACTAAGACATGATCATGTCCAGAGAATTAAAGGGGTGGGGGACGTTTAAGGTCTAAGTGATTCGGACATCCCGTACTTCAGAAACCTCGCACTTGTGAGGCAGAGCTTAGGGAAACTATGTTCCCTGATAAAAGCCACAATACTGAAAGCAGATGCTCTAAAATTGTAAGTATGGAAATTGTTTGCAACGGGAATTTAAAAATGACCGAGCACGTGAGTACCTACATGTACACATATGAACACCGACGTTATGTATATACATGTATGTGTGTGTGCCTTGTATTCGTCTACTGTATGGGTATCAGGCCGAGAAGGTAAAAGCCGTTTCCGCCCAGGCTGTCCCTCCACAGACGAGCATGGTAAGGCCCTGCCGCGCCCAGGCTCCCCGCGGGGCCCTCGGGAGGCGGTGGCCATGGCTCTTACTTGATGTGCTCCTGGTGCCCGGAGCCCTGCACGGTCTTGGCGCCCCAGCGTTGCTCCTTCTCACTCACATCGTTCTGAAAAGAAAAACGGCCGGTAAGCCCCACAGCCGGACTGTGGCACAGACAAACCACCACCCCGTCAAGGGAAAAACCTAGAGAGCCACGTCCGCTAGCTTAAAAAGGAACGCAGAGGCTGGCGGCTCCTACCACAAAATCGGGGTCGGTCTCCCAGTCGTCGGCTCCCGCGTCATCCTGGGCGATGGACACGGCGTGGCCTGCCGAAGCTTTCCACATCTGAAAGAGCAGCCCGGGGAGGGTTACGGAGGCCTCGGGGGCGCCATCCACAGAGGCCAGCAAATGAGCCCTTTGGCCAAAGCTACCGAGATTCTAGGGAACTCAGGAGGGCGAGGCTGCAGGGCCAGCCAATCCTTCCTGAAGCCTAGGCCTGAATGACAACCAGAGGAGTAACGAAACTTCACCTCGGGGGCTCTAACGCTGCCGTCAACTGCGTCAGAAACACACTGGAAAGACTCTTTGGCTTCAACTCAAGTGAGAAAATTTCTGGAAAATAAAGTCGGGTGTGCACTTTCTTTACTTATTAAGAACATAAGCCTGTTCTGCTAAATCATGATGACTCTGTTTCCAAGCAAAAATGAAAGCACCATTGTGAGGTGCGTATTATAAATACACTACACGTTACTAATGGTCAATCTCATGGTACGTGTATTTTTATCACGATTCTTTAAAAAACAGCATCCATTTTGATTTCAAGTGCTTACCGAAACTGTAACAATAATTTTCTTAATTCAGACTGACAGTGTAATAAAGGTTTCAAACGGGTTACTGGAGAATTGCTTCACCCTCCACTTGGGAGGAAGCAGGAATAGAAAAATGCCACCTTCCCCTCTATTAGGCCGCTCTGCTAGTGGGCAGTCCCTTCCTCCCTCAGCACTTTAAGACTGGAAGGTTTCCTCTGTCACAGAGAACAATGGCGCAACTGTGAACCCTAACAAGATAATTCTTTTTGTAACTGCAGTGGTAAAATCTAAACTTTTAAGGTTTTTTTTTTTTTGTAAACTGTGTATTAAAAGAACTGATTCCTTTTCCACAGAAATAGTAATACAGTTTCACACAGGCCACAGAGTAACTGCGAGATAATTTTAAATCAAACAACCAGAAGCTGCGGCCAGTAGTCTGAACCCAGGACACCCGATTCACTTTTTGTCAGGCGCCACGTTGGGACTGCAGTGCCCGGGATCACGACGGGACAAAAGCCCTTTGCAGCCTGAGAATAACCCATCTGGTTCCTCCCCCTCCAGCATGGCTGGGTCTCAAGTCCAAATCCCAAGTGACAGTGAGGGGCCAATCAGGACACTGTGCTCTTAAATTTCTAATGCAACTTTGTCTCTCGGGCAAGAACCATCTGCCAAGGGGTGGGGCAGGACCAACAATACCCCTGGCACCTCGTGTCGATGCCCCAAAGCACAGCAAGAATTTCCAGAGAGATCTGCTTTTGAGAGGATTTTAGGGAACAGATGAACCAGAATCTTCAAACTGAAAGGCACGGCCCGGCGCAGTGGCTCACACCTGTAATCCCAGCACTTTGGGAGGCCAAGGTGGGCAAATCACAAGGTCAGGAGTTCAAGACTAGCCTGGTCGACATGGTGAAACCCTGTTTCTACTAAAAATACAAAAAAAAATTAGCCTGGCATGGTGGCAGGCACCTGTAGTCCCAGCTACTCGGGAGGCTAAGGCAGGAGAATCGCTTGAACCCAGGAGGCGGAGGTTGCAGTCAGCTGAGATCGCACCACTGCATTCCAGTCTGGGTGACAGGGTGAGACTCCATCTCAAAAAGAAAAAAAAAAGAACAAAAAGAACTGAAAGGCACAAGGGCACAACCAGTCATTCTAGTCCCAATGCACCCATTTATAAATGAAGAAAAGGCTGCAGGAAAGAGAAATGGTATGCTCGGTCTCCAGTTGCCCCATGGCACCATGCTGCCTGGGCCAAGGGGCTGTCCATCTGTGGGACTTCAGCTGCCTGTGGTTCCAACCCCTGAGGAAGTGGCCATAGGAAAGGAAGGACGGGAGTCCCTGCAGGGCTGGCGAGGTCAACCTTCACCCCCAAGTCAAAGGTCAAAGAAGTCAGGTGTCTTTGCCTATGACTTTTCCAGGCTCATCAAGGAAGGATTAGCAGCAGAGCAGTCTCCACTCATCTTCCCGGAAGGCAGCTTCACCGGGGCGGGGTGGGCACTGCAAGCTTCACAGTCCCTCGCTTGGGGGTCCCCAACCACTTTCATGGGGTGGGGAAGGGGCCAGATTTCCCCCTCAGGGAAGACAGAAATGTGTTCTGTTCCTCAATTCGAGAGTTTTCTGCAACTGTCTTCACTAAGCCATATGCAACAGAAACCTGACTTTGTTTTTTAAACAATGAAATTTCCTTCCAGAAAATTCTCCCTCCCAGTAAATCCACAGAAACAGCAACCTCCCCTGTTTCCTGTCGATGGATTTCTGCCCTTACCATCCACAAGAAAGAACGTCAGGATGTTCACAAGACACAAGTACCTTTCTTTCCGCTTGGAGATAAAAGGCTGCTCACAAAACTCTGCTTAAAACACGGCAATCCAACGAGGAATTTCCAGGCATTGGGGAATGATTCCGTCTGTAAAAAGATTAAGGGTAAAAAGCTCAGAAGGCTGTCTATTGACCAGATCCCTGGGCAAATCCTGCTGTGTAGCGATCTTTTGAGAATACGTCAGAAATCCTCCCAAACACAACAAGGTTTTGTAATGAAATCTCAAAGGATGGGAAGATCTGCGTTTTACTAATGAAAAAGTTCAACACAGAGAAACTAAAGAAGCTATAAAAGATTTCTAACTACATGATGTTTCTTACTAACGCAAACAGAAATGACTGCCTCAGTTGCTAGTATGCATTTACTGTTTGCTATAATTCTTACAAGTTTTCGCTTTTTATTCATTATAATTAATGACATTAAAACAAAATAGTTACCGTGAGCCTTTTACAAGAATAAAATAAGAAAAGCACTCCTTGAGAGGATCACGATATGGCTGGGAGAAAAAACCAGTCCGGTGACATCTATGAAGACGTGAGCACGGCAGCTGGAGAGCCGAGAAGTAGGTTGTATTCTAATGCACGTATACAGTTACGGTGCAGGGAGCAAGACTCCAGTTCCCCAGAGGGTAGTCAGGCACGTGACCCCTTCCTGGGACCACACAGCAGCCTCAACTGGACACCACACACTGACAAATGAAATCCCTTTGTCCCTAGGAACAAGCCGGTCTCAGGCAAAGCAGTTTCTCCTGGATTAGGAACTAGCGGATGGCACTTGGCTGGCCCTCCTAGCAATTAATTAATTTCCTACCTGCTTCCTGACCCTGTCTCTTTCCCGAATTCTCTTTGGCAATCCTAACTTCTACAATGCTTGGTACATTCTTGTTACTGCAGTTATGAATGTAATCAGCAAGCATCTATACAACTCCGCCTACAAAATGAGCCAGGCATGGTGGTGTATACCCGTAGTCCCAGTTACTCAGGAGGCTGAGGTGGGGGAACTGCTTGAGCCCAGGAGCTCAAGGGTGCAGTGAGTCATGATCACACCACTGCACTCCAGCTTGGGAGACAGAGAGAGACCCTGTTTGAAAAATAAATAAATCATAACATAAAATCTAAAAATCTACTCATGTGCAGCTAAGGATAGGCTCAAATCTACAATTTTATCCCCTCGATGTTTGGAATTTTTAAAAAGTCACAAAACCACCAATAGAAAATAAGTTTGATTGTTTTGCGGATCCAAAGATAATGCCTCTAGACCCCTACCTCAAAACCATACAGAAACGTTAACTCAAAAATGAACTAAAATCCTAAAAAGGTATAAATTTTTGTGACTTTGAATTTGGCAATATTCTTACATATGACACCAAAATATAAGAGGAAAAAAAATACATTGTACAAAATTAAAAACTTTGTGCTTCATCAAGGTGACAAGACAATCCCCTGAGAGAAAACTGTTTGGAATCATATATCCAGAATATATATAGAACTCTTATAATTCAAGAATCAAAAGGGCAAATAACCCCATTTAAAAATGGGTGAAGGACCTGATGAAACATTTCTTCAGAGATACACAAATTGCCAACAAGCTCAGGAAAAGTTTGTTCAATGTCATTAACCATCAGGGCAATGCCAATCAAAACCACAGCAACAGCCCACCTCACACGCACTAAAATGGCTAAAATAAAACAGACAATGACAAGTCTCAGCAATGGTGTGGAGAACCCGGAACCCTTACAGATTGCTGATGGGAATGGGAAACAGAAAAGGTGTGCGGCTCCTCAGAAGGTTAAATGCAGGTGCCATATGACTCAGCAACTCCACTCCTAGGTCCACACCCAAGAGAAATGAAGGTAGAAGCACATAAAACTTGCACCTGAGTGTTCAGAACAGCACCATTGACAGCAGTCAAAAACAAGAAACACTCCGCAGTCCATCAACTGAGAAACAGACACACAGCATGTGGCCTACCTAACACAAAGGTGTTTTATTCCGCCACCAAGAGGAATACAGCACTGACAGCTGCTATAGCACGGATGAACCTTGAACACGTTATGAAAAGTAAAACCACACACACAAGACTCACCACATATTATATGATTCAATTTCTATGGAATGTCTGGAGCTGGCAAATGTACACAGACAAAAGATACATTACTGGCTGCCCAGGGCTGGGCGGACAGTGGTGGTGGTGGTGGGGATCGGGAGGTCATGGCTAAAGGGTACAGGGTTTCTTTTTGAGGTGATAAAATCATTCTGAAATTGATTGCGGTGATAGTTGTAATACTCCATGAAGATACTAAGAACCAGTGGATAGTACACATTAAACAGGTACACTGTATGGTATGTGAATTATATCTCAATAAAGCCGTTACAAAAAATAGTGTTCAAAAGATGGCTGGGCACGATGGCTCAGGCTTGCAATCCTAGCACTTAGGGAGGCCAAGGTGGGCGGACTGCCTGAGCAGCTGCCCACTGCACTCCAGCCTGGGCCACAGAGCAAGACTCCGTCTCAAAAAATAAAACAAAAAAAAAAACTATTCAAAAGAAGACAATGACTCTGTCCAACCTCATTAATATTAAACCTTCCTTGCAAACGTCAGTGTCAAGACTACACAAACGTGAAGCTGTCTCGCTCTGTCTAAACAGTGGAAAATTCCTGTTTTGTTTTTTTTTTTTCTTTTTCAGACAGACTCTTGCTCTGTTGCCCTGACTGGAGTGCATTGGTGCTATCTCAGCTCACTGAAACCTCCATCTCCTGGGTTCAAGCAATTCTCCTGCCTCAGCTTCCCGAGTAGCTGGGACTATAGACATGCACCACCGCACCCAGCTAATTTTTTATATTTTTAGTAGAGATGGGGGTTTCATTATGTTGGCCCAGCTGATCTCCAACTCCTGGCCTCAAGTGATTTGCCTGCCTCAGCCTCCCAAAGTGCCAGGATTAAAGGCACAAGCCACTGCGCTGAGCAGCACCCCCGCTAGCAGCTTTTTTTTTTTTTTGAGACAGGGTCTTGCACTGTGGCCCAGGCTGTAACGCAGAGGCACAATCTCAGCTCAATGTGACCTCTGTGTACCAGGTTCAGGTGATCCTCCCACTTCAGCCTCCCGAGTAGCTGGGGAGCTGTACAGGCATGCACCACCACCCCCAGCCAATTCTTCTATTTTTAATAGAGATGGAGTTTCTCCATGTTGCCCAGGCTGATCTCGAAACTCCTGGGCTCAAGCAATCCACCTGCCTTGGCCTCTCAAAGGGCTGGGATTACGGGTGTAAGCCACCGAGTCCGGCTGAAGAACGTTATACATGACGAGACAGAACTATCTGTCCAGCATCAGCTTTCCATTAGCCTCAGCACCTTCGGCAGAGCACGAGAAAGGAACCAAAAAGGCACTCGGTAGCCAAAATCGCATCACAGACACATTCCCTACACCACACCGACTCCAGGGAAACCCCGCCCATTCTCATCCCCGGCACTTTACCATTCCGGCCAAGCAGTGCGTCAGCAGATGGGGTGGGCCTGGGCCACAGTGACAGCCAGGCCTGCTCACAGAGCACAGTCCCCTGCTCTTGGCTGTACGCGAGGCAGTAGACAGCACTCACAGCAATTCACTCTCAAGGACACCTTTTTCTGAGCACCTACTATGTGGCACAGACTGAAGATCTGAATTGCCAACTATGTGCACTGTCATTTCAAAAGTGTTTTAAAAACAAGTCCATCAACACACTACAATTAAAAGTCAGCTTTAAGCCAGGTGTGGTGGTTCACGCCTGTAATCCCAGTACTTTGGGAGGTTGAGGCGGGTGGATTACGAGGTCAGAGGTTCAAGACCAGTTGACCAACATGGTCTCTATTTAAAAATACAATACAGGCCGGGCGCGGTGGCTCACGCCTGTAATCCCAGCACTTTGGGAGGCCGAGGTGGGTGGATCATGAGGTCAAGAGATCGAGACCATCCTGGTCAACATGGCGAAACCCCGTCTCTACTAAAAATACAAAAAAATTAGCTGGGCAAGGTGGCGCGTGCCTGTAATCCCAGCTACTCAGGAGGCTGAGGCAGGAGAATTGCCTGAACCCAGGAGGTGGAGGCTGCGGTAAGCCAAGATTGCGCCATTGCACTCCAGCCTGGGCAACAAGAGCGAAACTCCGTCTCAAAAAAAAAAAAAAAAAAAAATTAGCCGGCCGTGGTGGTGCATACCTGTAATCCCAGCTACATGGGAGGCTGAGGCAGAAGCGCTTCAACCCGGGAGGCGGAGGTTGCAGTGAGCCGAGAGCGCGCCATTGCACTCCAGCCTGGGCAACAGAGTGAGACTCCATTTCAAGAAAAAAAACAAAAAAGGCAGCTTTAGCTGGGCCTGCCATCCCAACTACTTGGGAGGCTGAGGTGGGAAGATCACTTAAGGCCAGCAGTTCAAGGTTGCAGTGCGCTAGATGTAACCTGTGAAGAGCCACTGCCCTCCAGCCTGGGGACAGGGTCTTCTTCTGTCACCCAAGCTGGAGTACAGCGGTGCAATCATAACTCACTGCAGCCGCCAACTCCTGGGCTCAAGATCCTCTGCCTCAGCCTCCCAAGTAGCTGGGACTACAGGTGCCCGCCACCATGCCTGGCGCATTTTTCTTTTTTGGTAGACACAAGGTCTCCCTATGTTGCCCAGGCTGGTCTGGAACTCATGGACTCAAATAATCCTCTCACTTTAGCCTCCCAAAGTGCTGGGATTACTGGTATGAACCACTGCACCCCGCCCCAGGCCACAAGGAACTTCTTTTCAGTAAGCTTTAGCAGACGGTTAGCTTCCAGTTCCAGGGGACCTAATACCAAAACAACCCTGCCTCCCCAACTTTTTATTCTCATAGGTCCTTGATTCCCACTTAAAAGACTCTTCCTTGTTCCTTGAGTATCTGGCGAATACTTCTCTAACCAGAGGAGAAACAGGACGGACTCAGTGCTCTGGAGCCGGTGACTCACCCGCTCGGTGAAACACGGGACTGGAGACGGGGCAGGCGTCCCTCCTGCGCCATAGCCTTGAGGGTTGCGGTATGGGCCATGCCTTAAGGATCTAGTGGGTGAAGTCCCCCCAAGAGACCCTGTGCAGCCAAGTCAACACTGAGCCCAAAGGGAGCGCATGGGATTCCAGGGAGCGCTCATCGGATGCCTGCGGAGCTTCCTTCAGCAGAAAATGAATTCCTTCCTAGGGGGCCAGACACGTCCACAGATTCCAGTGGGAGGAAGCCCCGTCCCTTCTCACCCGAGGCCTTCCAGCGCCGGGGATCAGGCACCCGTTAGACTATCCAGATGATGGAAACGCAATAAACAGAAAGCCCAAAAGCACCTTTCTGGTGATTTCAAATACACCCCGAAGGAGGGACGGTTCCAAATTTAGAGCCTCACGACTAGCTGCAGCCGCGCCTCGCTGCCTCCACTGACCTGATTGCAAAACCTCCGCTCAGGTGCGGGCCGGGAGGATCCCCAGCTGCTCCGCCGCGTCCCACAGCGAGCCCCCCAGAGCCGCGGACCCCTTCCCCTCGAACCCCAATTCCCTTCCCTGGACCCCTCCTCGGCAGACCCCAATCCGCACCCCTCGGACCCCTTTCTCTCAGAGCCCTGGCCCTTTCCCTAACACGCCTCCCTCACCTTCCACGGCCCCTGAAAACCCGGCCCCCTCCGCTCGGATTCCCGAACCCCACAGGCCCAGCTCTTCGCCCTTAGGCCCCAATCCCCTCCCCCTCGGAGCCCATCCCCCTTTCCTATTCCCTTGGACCCACGACCCCTCCCAGCCTGGCCCTTCTCCTGCCCTGAAGCCCTCGGGGCCCAGGGACCGTCCCCTCAGAGCTGGGACCCCCGTGGGGCCCCTCGCTAACCTTCTCCGCGGACCCCAGCCCCGAGCCCTCCGCGGACCCCAGCCCGGCCCCTCGGGCCCAGACTCGACCTCGTGGCCCCCGCGGACCCCCGGCCCTCGCCCGGCCCCGCCCCAGGCTGGGGAAGCCCGGCCGCTCCGCCCCAGGTCCCGAAACCGCGAGCGGAAGAGCGGTGAGACCGCTGCGGCCGTCGCTTCCTTCCCCTTTTGCGGCCCGCCGACGCCACAGGAGGCGGGGGCCGCAGAGCCAGGCCTGCCGCCCGGGCGGACGCCGCGCTCGCTCACCGCCGCCGGGGTTCGGTCTGGCCCGGGTCGGCCCTGACTCCCGCCGCTCCCTCCGCGCCCTCCGCTCCCAGGCGCCAGGCTCCACTTCCGGTTCCGCGGGCGGGGGGGCGGGGCCGCATCCGGGTCCCCCTCGCGGCCCCGCCCCCCGGCCCCGCCCCGCTCCGGCGTCCCGGCCCGCACGACCCCCGGGTCCCGCCGGCAGCCCGCGAAGCGCGAGCCCGGCCCGTGGCGAGCCTGCAGGGCGCGCCGGAGAGGAGCGTCGCGCGCGCAGAAGAGGGGCGCCGAGAAGCGCACAGCCCGCGGCGGGGTACCCGGGGCCGGGAGAAGGAAGCCAGCCAGCCCGGGGCGACGCGCGGGCCCTGAGCCCGGGGGCGGCGAGCCCCTGCAGCCGGCCTCCACCTTCCCTGCGCTCGGGCCCAGCGTCGCGCCCTCGCGCGCACCCCGCGGTCCTCGTCCGCCCGCTCACGGTGCACCCCTCCAGAAAGGGCCACGTGCGTGTCGGGGACGCGAGCCCGGGCCGCAGGGACCCAGCAGCCTGGAAGGCGAGTCAGGCGTTAAACCGCAGGGGTGCTCACCTGGGAGGTGAGATCGATGCCCAGAAGTGAGAGTTTCATGACATCGTCCTGGAGAGAAGCAGCTAGGACCCCAGCCCATCCGGGAGGCCAGAGGTTTCTTTGGGCAATTCACAGGTTAGCCAAGATGTGACGGCCCCCTAGGAGTAAAGGTAAGGAGGGAAGAAGCTTCCCAGACGGGGACATCAGCAGGTTCCGAGGCAGGAAAGGTCGTGCAGCAGGGGAACTGAAGGAGGCCCAGCTCAGCCGAGCCCGGGTGTGAGAGCGGCGGGGTCATGCCGAGCCTGAAGGAGCACAGCGAGGATCTCGGTCTTCGTTCTGGGAGTCACGGGAGGTTCTCGGAGGAAGTTAAGCAGGTAAGAGACCTCAGTGAAGTTTGTGCCGTGCGCGGTGGCACACGCCTGTAATCCCACCACTTTGGGAGGCCGAGATGGAAGGATCCCCCAGGAGTTTGAGACCAGTCTGGTCAACATAGTGAGCCTCCCTCCCCGCCCAGTCTCTAAATAGATCAATGCATCATGTACAGTAGTTTGAATTGTAATGAGATCACTCTGTCTGCTGTGTGGAGAGTGGATGGGAGGAGGGCCAGGTAGAGCCTAACGTGACCAATTCGTGCACCTCTCTGGCGGCAGGTAAGATGGGGAGAAGCGGATGGATGCCGGAGGCATGTAGAAAGCGAAACTGTCACTTGTGAGGATGGGATGGGAGTGCGGGTGGCGGAAGGAAATGTCAGATGTTGACTATTTTTTAAAGATAAAGTCATGACTTTCATACACATATAAAGTGAACATGTCAAATATTTAATTTAACTCCAAAAATACATCATAAGATTTTACGAATTATTTAAAGAATTTGGCCAGATGTAGTGGCTCACGCCTGTAATCCCAACACTTTGGGAGGCCAAGGCAGGAGGATTGCTGGAGGTCAGGAGTTTGAGACCAGCCTGGGCAGCATGGCAAGACTGTGTCTCTACGGAACAACAACAACAACAAATTTAAAGAAAAAAATTAGCCAGGCATGGTGGCATATACCTGTGCTCCAAGCTACCCTGGAGGCTGAGGCAAAAGGATCACTCCAGCATGGGCAATGGAGACCCTGTTTCAAACAAAAACAAAAAATGAGACCAAAAAACCCAAGGAAGTCAAAAGAATGCTGAAATGAATTTGCAAAAACTAGTCTATGTCTAGTGCAATGGTCAATTGCATTTAACTGGACACAGCTAATTTGCGTTTTCTGTGGACAAAGATTGTTGGCCAGGCTGGTAATCCCAGCCCTTTGAGAGGCAAGGCCAGAGGATTGCTTGAGCCCAGGAGTTCAAGACCAGCCTGGGCAACATAGCGTCTCTGGAAAAAAAAAAATTTTTTTTTTTTTTTACATTGCCGACTTTTTTTTTTTTTTCTTTCTTGAATTTTTAGAGACGGGCTGGAGTGGAGTGGCGCAATCATGGCTCACTGCAGCCTCCACCTCCAGGGCTCAGGCAGTCCTCCCACCTCAGCCTCCCAAGTAGCTGTAGCTGGAACTACAAGCACATGCCACCACACTTGGCTAGTCTTTAAAAATTTTTGTAGATACTGGGTCCTGCTATGTTCCTAATGCTGATTTCGAACTCCTGAGCTCAAGTGACCCTCCTGCACTGGGGTTCCATGTGTGAAGCACCACATGGCCAGGCCACAGTGCTGCCTGTTTTTGAAAGGTTAATTTCTGCCTCTATAGAGGTATGAAACTGTCTAGTCAAAAAAGCAGCCTTGTGACTGCATTGATCCAGCACAAGCCCCTCCTCTCAAGGTCCTCACTACGTCACACCTTTTGCCATAAAAGGTCATAGTCACAGGTGCTGAGGGTTAGGCCACGGACATATCTTTGGGTGCCCAGATAAATCTTCTATTAAGATTAGAAAAATGAATTTTTAGGTTGAAGAAAATGCATTTTATTCAAGAACACATTTAAAGAAAATATAGCGGCTGGACGTGCTGGCTCACGCCTGTAAATCCCAGCACTTTGGGAGGCTGAGGCGGGTGGATCAGCTGTGGTCAGGAGTTCGACACCAGCCTGACCAACATGGTGAAACCCTGTCTCTACAAAAGTACAAAAATTAGCCGGACATGATGGCAGGTGCCTGTAATCCCAGCTACTCGGGAGGCTAAAGCAGAAGAATCACTTGAACCTGGGAGGCGGAGGTTGTAGTGAGCCGAGATTGCGCCGTTGCCTGGGGGAGAGAACGAGACTCCGTCTCAAAAAACAAAAAAAAAAGAAAGAAAATATAGCCATATATTTTTCCTTACAGTAACCTAATTATGAAATATAATTTTTACTTTTTTCATGGAAGAAGGGGACCACAAAGGTGAAAAAAACCATAATTTGGCCTCACAGGCCATCCAGATTTGAACGGCAGGTGACTGAAGGGGCCCTGGAGAAGGCTCCAGGGGGAGGCGTCTTGACTGAGCGTGACAGATGTGGGTACTGGAGGCCAAATAGGGCACAAACAGGGCAGGCATGCCCGGAGAAGCAGGGGCCTCACATGTGAAGAGCTACCACGATGAGATTGTTCAGCCAGGATAGTCCATTTTATTTTCAAAACAGCTTTACAAGCCGGAAATCATTTTTGTAAGACCAGATTGATTGACATATAATTCACATAAAATTCAGTACACCCATCTCAGTGTTTTGGGGTTTTTCTTGTAGTGTATTCACAGGGTTGTACAGCCATCACCACAGTCTAATTTTAGAACATATACCCCCCGCAAAAGAAACCCTACTCATCAGCAGTCAGTCCCCTGCGTCCCGTCTCCCAGCCTGAGCAGCTGTGAATCCACTTGCAGCCAGTGAGGTGGACATTATTGCTTCCATGTTACAGAGAAGGAAAGCTAAAACTCCCAGCTGACTTTTCAGCAGGAGGGCAGTGTTCGTGGTTTAGAAAGTCCAGTCTGCGGCCGGACACGGTGGCTCACACCTGTAATCCCAGTACTTTGGGAGGCTGAGGTGAGCGGATCATGAGGTCAAGAGATTCAGACCGCTCCGGCCAACATGGTGAAACCCCATCTCTTCTGAAAATACAAACATTAGCCAGGCATGGTGGCACATGCCTGTAATCCCAGCTACTCGGGAGGCTGAGGCAGACTGAGGTCCCAGCTACTCCCTTGAACTTGGGAGGTAGAGGTTGCAGTGAGCGGAGATCGTGCCACTGCACTCCAGCCTAGTGACAGAGTGAGACTCCATCTCAAAAAAAAAAAAAAGACCAGTCTGCTGCCAGGTGAAGGGCAGGCTACTTCACAGCGGCTCCCAGGGAGAAAGGGGTGGGGCATTCTTCTACATGCCCATTGCGCTCCTTCAGGAGAGTGTGGCAGAGACTGAGGCTGGCCACAGAGGAATTACACAGACAATGTCAAATTTGCAAAGCAAAAAGTATAGCTGTGCTCAAAAGCAAGTAGAGCCTGAGTGCGGTGACTCACACCTAGAATCCTGGCAATTTGGGAGGCTGAGGCAGGTGGCTCACTTGAGGTTAGGAGTTTGAGACCAGCCTGGCCAGCACAGTGCAGCCCTGTCTCCACTAAAATTACAAAAAAAAAAAAAAAAAGAAAAGAAAAAGAAAAACAACCAAAAAAATAGCTGGTGGCTGGGGCATAGTGGCTCATGCCTGTAATCCCAGCACTTTGAGAGGCCGAGGCAGGCAGATCACCTGAGGTCAGGAGTCCAAGACCAGCCTGACCAACATGGTAAAACCCCGTCTCTAATAAAAATACAAAAGTTAGCCGGGCATGTTGGCAGGCACCTGTCATCCCAGCTACTTGGGAAGTTGAGGCAGGAGAATTGCTTGAATCTGGGAGGTGAGCTGAGATCACACCAGTTGCATTCCAGCCTGGGCAATAGTGTGAGACTCCATCTCAAAAAAAAAAAAAAAAAAAAAAGGTTGATATCTCTGTGAGCCAGAAATGAAGAGAAATGCAGAGTGCTGAGTGGGCCTGGAACTGCAGAGCTGCGGGGCCAGGGTCACTCATGCTTGTGAAAGAAAGCTGAAAAGCAGCACGCAGCCGGGGCGTGCTAGTGGTCACAGCTACTTGGGAGGCCGAGGTTGGGGGGACCACTTGAACCCAGGCGTGCCAGAGCAGCTGGAGCAACGTGGTGCGACCCTGCCTCAAAAACTAAAAGCAAAGGAAAAATTTTAAAACCCAGGTAGCCAAAGAGGGATGTCTAAACAGCCTTATGTCCAGGATCTGAGCAAACCAGTCCCTGACTTGGGGTGCAGATGGGACCTGGCGCATTGCACCACCACGCAGGGCCATAGGACTCCGCACACAGGCGACAGACGTGGCTGTCCACCCAGCGCCCCCACCCTCCTTGGTACTAAGTGGGCGTGTGGATGTGGCTGTCCAGCTCCACTCCATTTCCCAGCTGCCCTCGGAGGCAGGAGCTGCCACGTGGCCGGGTCCTCGCCCATGGAACGCGAGGGGAAGTGACATGCATGACTCCTGAGCCTGGACCGTCATACCTCCCGGGGCCGCCCCTACCTCAGATCAGCTTCCCAGGCTACTACAACACACGATGACACAC